TGTTGTTTTAAACCTGCTTCGTTAAAGAAGGTAGTTTTATTCGTGCAACGTTGGTGTGGATAACAAATCTTATCGTTAAAAAATGCTTCCTTCCACGTCCTAAGCGTCGCCAGTTTAATTTACAACTTACAAATTTCACGCCACTTTTTTATATTTGTTTATATTCAAGATTATGTAGAAATTTACTTGCTGACTTGACGCCGGCGCCATCTTTTTTTCAAAAACACTACAACAACGTGCAATTTGTTTGGTTTCGACACTGTTCTTGCGACGCCATCTTGCGAAATGGGGCGAACATATCTGGAGGGCCCCCTATACCTCTTCACAAAATGCTTTCACGTAAAAATATTTTGCCTTTTCACGAGTCACGAAAAATTGAAAAAATTCCTTCACGTTCACGGAAAAATCGAAGGGATCACGATTCACGTAAAAATAAAACAAAGTTCACGAATTATTATATAAGATGTCTTCCTTAATTGTAGAATCATTGTACTCGTCTGTACTACTACTTTATACCTCGACATGCTTTCAAACCTCCAACTATGTCGAAAACAGGCTTCTGTACATCAAGTACTTCAAAAAACTGCAACAAACCGTATTTATTCCTTGGAAAGCTGATCACACAAAAGGTCACAAAACAGAAGATTCACGAATCACGAATATTTCTATCTGCCATTCACGGGTCACGGTTAAATTGAATCTTTCCTTCACGTGCACGTAAAAAGATTGGAAGTCATACCATCACGAATCACGGATTAAGAAAATCATTGATCACGTTTCACGGCTAAGTAAAATAAGCCCATCACGCTTCACGCAAAAACTATAGGGGGCCCTCTATCTGAGCAACAATGCTATGACCCTAGCGGGATAAGTCTTCTCATTGGGACAAGGCAATGCCCGAAAAAGCGGATATATAATAGTACAGAACTACAGGTGCAGTGTGGGTTGTATCGTTATTAGTGGCAAAGAAAATATCCTATAAATGTGTAGTCTCCTATGCAGACCTACTTTAGCGGGTTTGGGCCCGCCACGTACGGTCTGCTTACTTTCGCTAGTCATTCGCCTTCCCATTGTATTCCATTAGCCAATAGCATTCAAATGCACAAGACACGCCCACTTTGAATGTCAACTGTAAACTTGTAAAATGTAAATGCAAACAAGGAGCGTGCGATAATCGAATAATAATACGGTATATACGTATTTTAAATGGCCATAAATGTGA